AAGGCGGTTCACCCACTGCAGCGCGCTACGTCGCGTAGCGCGTGAGCGCAGATTTTAACGTAGTATGCAAGTATCTCAGTTCGTATAGAAATCCCGCGATTTACCACACACTGACCAAGCGCCGGCGTGTTCATTCTGCCAATCGGCGCGTAGGCGCGGAGCGTTCTGCTGGTGGGGTATAGCGCCACAGTCCCGCGCGCGTTTTTAAGCCGTTTCGCCCACTGGCAACACGTCCCGACGCGTAGCGCGGATCGTGCGCGCTATGCGACGAAGCGCGCTGCAGTGAGTGAATAGCCTTACTGAAGTGACCTTTTTGAAGTCACCTTTCTCTCTACACGTGATGAATATTTCCGAAATCCCCCGGGAATCCTCCGAATTACATTATTAGTTTCGCTAATGAATAGCTGATCCGCTTCCGTTAATCCTTTGAAATGTGCTTCCTCATCCTGAACTATTTTGGGTATCTAATGTTCTCGTGTCATTCGATTGACGTCAACTAGTCAAAGGATTACTGAAATAAGCTCTCCGAGTGGAGTGCGCTGTTGCATTCAATCCGGCGCAAATGACTGCCTGTAGGCTACAACTAGGGTTGATTAGTTTTTACACAGTATGTACAGTATATAACACACACACTCAATCTCCCTAGTATATAAGGCATGTCAACCTAATTAAAGGAGTTCATAATCGCAGTCAGATTTATCATTTATCGCCCAAGCCACACGTTTCACTGCAACAGTACGCTCTCCGAATTTAGTTGCAGATAAGTTTTACGCGTGGGTTCAAGTCCTGTTGGATTTTTTTCTAGTAAAAATTTTCTTTAGATTTAAACATCAAGCAATTAAATGCCTAAAATGAATAAAAATATAACAAACACTCGCTATTTCTTTATTTTTTAAATGTTTAATACTTTTAAAGGTATTTCATTTGACATTGTGGGTACAATGCGAAGAGATGGCGTGGACTGCCTTGCAACCTAAGATATACTAGTGGAAATTCGACACGGCCATCAGGGCCGCCGTAGCATAATTGGTCAGTGTACCCGCCCGGATAGCGGAGAGTGCGAGTTCGAGTCCCGTCTGCTGCCTGGTCGGCGTGGATTTTTTTCTAGGAAACGTTTCTTTAGATTCAAACGTATTTTTATATTTTGTTTTAATTTAATTTTTCACTACTAGCGGCGGCCCATGACTTCGTCTGCTTTAACTTCAGTTTTTGGGAATCCCACTGGAAACTAACATTTTTACGGGATAAAAAGTATTGTATGTCTCAATCCAGGCCATAAACTATATGCGTACCAAATTTCATTCAAATGTGTTCAGTAGTTCTTGCGCGATAGAGTTACAAACATACAACCTTTCACATTTAAAATATTAGTAAGATGTTTGTATGTATTATATTATTATTACAGCATTTAATGTGCTTTATTCACAAATCAAAGGAAAATTTTAAAGACTGACTATTCTAAGGGTGGGTTGTTTTTTATAGTAAATATTTTGTTTAGATTGATATAATAACAGTATCTTGTATACCTTTGGGCGTCTAAAATATTAAAGCTTCTTTATAATAATAGAATAATAGGCTGAGATATTTATATTATGGGTATTTACGCAAAACCCATTGGTAGAGTTATGGTGTGCTTTTATGGCCCTATTACAAGTAAAGTAAATAAGCTCCCAAAGTAAAGTTTATTTAAGGAATCCCTTGGCTTCAAATTGGAAACGACGGAAAGTTACCTGTAACGTTTTATAGATACCCATTAAATTTCATGATCAAAGAAATTCATTGCTTAATTTTGAGACAGTAATTTGCCATGAAGCGTGAATTGTGAGACATTAATTCTATTGAATAAACGTATCCCAATTAAGTTCTATTGGGCACCACTATATGAAGCTTGGTGACGCAGGTGGTTATAGGTAGATCGCTTAACTGAGTCCTCACCTGCGGGGTACAGGGTGTGGGGGAAGACGAGAACGAGGGCTGTGAGAGGTGCGGGCGGCGAGCGCTTGTAATTTTGACAAGAATGTGCCTGCCTCCTTAGCTTTAACTTTAGCATTTATTAGTGGGATGTGAAAGTTTTTGAGTTTTAACAAACTAAATCATCACCTAAATCATATAAAAACGGGTGAACGGATTTTGACGAAATTAATCACAAATATAGATTATTAGCTGGATTGAGACATACGATACTTCTTATCCAGGAAAAAATTAAGGTCCCTAGAGGATTCTCTAAAACTAAAGTTAACGCGGTTGAAGTCGCGGACGCCAGTTAGTTGATTAAAATTCAATAATGATCTGTTTAAACATTTTCTAAATCCTTTCCTTGGGGTGATACTGGGTGGGATGTACGTTTTATAGAAAAAAAGTCTTATTTAAAATTCTTAATATGGAAATTGATTTGGTTACTTAGAAAGATACATATATATATATATATGAGCACCGCGATATGACAAATAGCTCGATTTTATCACGCTCAATTGCCAAATTACTTGACAGTTATGCGCGATAAAAAACGTGATATAATGTAAATTGTGGTGCTCATGCTACGGGGACAGTAGTTGAAGCGCGCGAGTAAAGTTATAGTGCGCGCGGGCGGAAAACTAGTTCATGGGCATTTTTTCTACTAATAGAAAATCGTTGTTCTTAAGCCATTTTTACCCTTAGGGTCTGTCATCTGTCTGTCTGTTCGTATGTCACGGGTCTCTAGATCGTAAACGGAATGAGTAATAGAACTGAAATTTTGGTATTTTCTATAATATTTCCATCATGGTGGGTCCCATACATGACCTCCACCAACTCTCACGGTCCCCGTTGTCATCCTCCCCTGCACCCTTTACCCCGCAGGCGAGGACTCAGTTAAGGGGTCTACCTATAGCTCATTTGGCCTGCGATCGTGGAAGCTAAGCAACTTTCGCAATGGTCGACCATTCTATGAATGACCAAAAACTTATTATCTCGTGCTCGCTCCTCTGTGCTTCGGAAGGCACTTTAGGCTTTTGGTCCCAGCTGCATAGGCATTCGTTAACGCCCAATCCGCACTAGACCAGCCTGGTAGGTCACGACCCAGTCTCCCTATTCCATTCATAGGGAAGGCCTGTGGTCCTGCAGTGGGGACATAAATAGGCTGATGATGATGAGGCTGTGGGATTAGCCAAATAGCCTAGCCCCAAGGTAAGCACTATAGGGCTTGTATTATGGGAGACTAGGGTAACAGATAGAATACATATACTGTACATATATAAGTATATTTATATAGAATTACATATTAAATATCCATGACTGGAGACAAATGCTCGTATTCATCACACAAACATCTGCCCCCATTCATTTCATTTACCAAAAACCTACACACACTGACCGCTATCTCAACGCCTCCTCGCTTCACCACCCTAAACATCTTAACTCTGTAGTGACTTCACTGACGAACCGTGCATATGACCTGTGTGATGAGGAACATCTTCAGAAGAGTTGGAGCATGTACGACGAGTCTTACAGAGTAATGGATACCAGGGACATTTTCCGTCTAGACACAAACTGAGACACCAGAGACACAGGGTAGACAGACAACCTGTTTATTTGCTATACGTCAAAGGAGTGACTGACAAGATCTCAAACATACTGAAAAAGTACTCACTAAACACTGTCTTCACTCCTGTACGAAAGGTTTCACAATACCTACGGCCTCCTAAAGACAACTACCCCTTGGAGAAACCTGGTGTCTATAAGATCGATTGCAGCTGTGGCAGTTCGTACATTGGCCAAACAAAGCGAACATTATCATGCCGAATGAGGGAACACATAAAAGCAATCAAGAACAACGATACGCAGAAATCAGCCATCGCAGAACATTTGGTTGATTCTGGTCCTAACCACTGGATTGAGTTTCATAACCCACAGATTATCTCGACAGAACGCCACTACGTACCAAGATTGGTCAGGGAAGCGATTGAAATAACAAAACATAAAAATTTCAATCTTGAGGAAGACTTTAAATTGTCGAGTGTCTGGAATCCTGTGGTTCGTATGTGTAAAACCGGAAATAATCAAAAAAGTGTCGTGTCGCGATCCGATACTGTAAGTGTTGTGTGTCGAGAACAGTTTCGAGTGAATAGTGAGAATGTGAACAGTGGCACGGGTATCGAACGCAATAAAAGACTTCGTCGGAGGGTAGACCGATATGTCTGCCAATAACAGCCTCCCCGCAATTACTTCAGTTACTCCGTCCGTGATCATGGCGCTTGCAACAGTGCCGAAATATCGGAAACTCGCTAAAAACAAGGTAACAATCCCGTAAATAACTTATATTACTATAATGTTAGTGACCATGAAAGTTTAAAACATTATACCACGTACCTTGAGCTCATTAAACGGCTTCTTGGAAAACGGAACCTTTTGTCGTTGAAGTTTGAGTGTACCTACAATGAAATATATTCATTGTTCCAAAAACATAATATAAACATATGGGTTGTAGGGAAGACCGTAACAATATTGGCAGATCTAAGCAATCGTTGATTAATTAATTATTAAAGTAATTAATTATTTTTGAAGCAATGATTCTTCGTTATCTCTTTAGACAATAAACGTTAGGATTTATGATGGGGTTGATATATGCATACTATTGGGTAAAAGCCTTCTTATTAAATTAATTAAAAAACAGTAGCTCGACGGCGCAGGAGTTAACGTGTTCGGTCTTCGATCGTAAAAGTTAAGCAATTATCGCAATCGTTGGGTATTGGATGGGTCACCAAAAATTTGTCACCCGTTGATCCTGACTGCAATGTAGTTGCCAATCCTTATTGCGCATACTTGAAAATTTTAAGAGAGGTAGGGTGTAGATTTCCCGCTGAAACTGGAGCGCCTGTCTGGGGTAGTAACCTCTACCTTACAGAAGACCACAGTAAAATAACACTACCTTTTGATATTGTGGCTTACCATCAGCCCGCCATATGCTTATTTGCCATCAAAGGGCATTGATTGGCAGATCATGATGAATGCTTTTGTTTCAGCCGGAGTTGTACAAGAACGAGCTGGTGCGTCAATCGTCGACCGACAGTGCTGAGCTGGAGTTTTGCGGCAAGTTGCATTTCGCCCTCAAATACGACCAGGAGGTCGAGGCTTTGGTTGTCAAGGTACGTGAAATCAAACAAATAGATTCCTGGCCCACTTACATGGTAGAGTGTGATCCAAATTTAACCTGTGAAGTTAGAGCAAGTCACGGGGCAGTAAACGAAATGCAAGGTGATGTAGACCTGTACCTTTAGCACGAACCAATATTAAATTAGAATAGATGAATTCGATCGATGAATTGATACGTGTCAAATGTTATGGAGTTTTGTATGGAACTTTGAACAGCGCCACAACAGACGTCACGAGAATTAAAAATCTTCCATACAAAACTTCTTAACATTTGACGCGTACCGAGATCGAATTCAACTATTCGAAGTCGATATTGGTTCGTGCTAAGGGTACTGAACTGAAACCTGCTCATAGTAACACTCGCTGCTAAATTCAAGCCTCCATAAAGTTTGATTCGTTTGAAATTGTCAAATTATTAATATTATAAAAAGCAAAAACAATATATTCAAAAGCCTATTAAGTGATGCATTGGTATTAAATAAATTGAAATGTAAGTTTGGATTTTCGAACAACTTTAAACATTATACTTTGAAAATATTCTAAGATAACAATGTAATTATATATATATATATATATATATATATATATATATATATATATATATATATATATACTAAAACAATAAAACTGAAACTAAAAACCTTAAAAAATAAAATTAATAACTAAAATATATTATTTAAAGGAGTCCCTTTAGGCAAGGATACGAAGATACTGGCAGCGTTACCCCTTTGAATGGCTAGACTAATTCTTTGTCCGAGGTAGCTGCCAGCTGTTCGGTCTCCTGTGATGTCGACTAACCTTTTTGTTATGTCCTTAAATAGCCTTAAAGCTCTAGGACCCCACGGACCAAGGGTCGCGACACCGAATGGGACAAAATCATATTCGGAACCTAGACCCCTGTATTTGCTTGCTTTTGCTTTTTCAGCCGCTTCACAAAACAAATAAGTTGTTTAATGTGTTTGACTTTAAAGTAGTGGTAAAAGATCAACTTCAAATTATTGGGATTAAAAAAATACTGAGATAAGGGGTTTTATATAAATAAATGTAATGATGATGCTGATAATGCGCTAAACGATCTTTTCGTTAATGTACTCGTAAAAGCACTGCCGTGCTATCGATAAGAGCAGTAAGTATTATTTACATAGTTTTGAGAAAATACGGTTCAAAGTTTTTGTGACCTTTTTACTTACCTTGACTTTTTTTTAAGTAAACTAAGGAATGGTCGTTGAATTGAAGTATTTTTTTTATTGCGAAATCGTTTAACTTGTATTTATAACAGATCTTAAATGGCTAAAAACCTACAATATTGATGGCGTTACTGTCCGTGTTTTTATTGTAATTTAAAATTCCCGTTGAGCTAAAAATGTGGCGGTTCGATTATATAATAGAGCTCATCGCGCTTATTCCGAATCAATATTTAAGTCAATTTTGACAAAGAAGACTTACTGCTCTTATCAATATCGATGGCACGGCAGAGTAGATCATTATTAATTTTAATCATTAGACCACATAGGTACATATTTTGTCGTAAAAAATTACCTACCAAATATATTATATTTTTTATTAACCTTTTAATTGGAAATCAAAAAACTTCATCGCTTTTTCTATACTAAATTTACAAATAAATTTATTTACTTTTCATTAAATTTAAATGCAAAAAAAACATAATACGTCTTTGATGATGCAGTTTCAAAATTTGGGCATATTCCTTACAAAATTTATTTAGGGTATCGAGAAAAACCAAAACAACAGAAAAGCGGAATCTATCCGCTATCGCTTCAATTCTTGGAAATGTTAACGATGTTTAAATTACAACAGTTTCACAATAATAGCCAATAAATAGCTTACTGGTACTCCTATTGAACGCAAGGCACGTGTTAAACTAAGAATGTTGTTCGGGAATCATATTATAGGCTTGTAACTTTTTCATGTACAAGGCCTCCCCTGAGCATTGTGTTCTGACGATTTTATTCCTTCTCCAAATATGATACGAAATATCTCAGTATTTGTAGGTGGACACTTGGAATAGATTTGAGAATGTTGGAGCCGTACAGTTTTTTTTATTTCAAAGTCTTACAGATTTACTGCTCTACGAATTTCATCATGTCAATTTTGAGACAAAACGCACACCGTACCTAATAATATCCAGAACGAACTAAAGCCTTAAGTGCCTACTATTTACAAAGAGCCCAAAACTTTTCCATTTGCAAATAGGATTTAAATAACACAGTACGAAACTGTATACCTAAGCGTACAGGAATACATATGCGTACTCGTTTCTTGCTTTATCTTGTCACGTACCATAGAGCCTACTTAATACAATGAGTCTTTGAATTTGGGCTTAAAATCACACCTGCGGCTCAAGTATTATTAGGTCTGGCACTGAAGGATTCATGTTATCAAAAAGTTTTTTCTTAAGAATCATTGAATAAGAAAGTATTCGAAAATTTATTTACGTTCCATTTTGAGTCAAAACATAATTCATATTACCTAACATTACTGTTATTTCATCTTGATTTATTTGCTAGGGAAAGTTGCGTAGCGCTTAGACTATTAAACTACATGACTTATAAATTACATTAATGTAAGTATACTAGCGATCCACCCCGGTTTTGCACGGGTAAACTACATTTTTAAACGCGATAAAACATAAGCCTATATTACTCATGCTTATCCCACACATGTGCGATGAAGCTTTCGGTGGAGTTAGTACTTTATGCGCTAAAGTTAGCGCTCGAAAGTCGAATCAGTTCTGCCTTAATGAATTACCGGGCTGCGTGTCTTTAGACGCTCGACGATAGCTTGACTGGCGATAAGATAATTTGACACGTTAAGATAAAGTTGTGTTAAATGATGAATTTAAATGTACAGCTGAAGGAGCGTACTTAATTCAAAGTTCGAACAACAAGGTAGACCGCTTAACTGAGACCTCTCCTTCGGGGTACAGGGTGTGGGGAAGGACGAGAACGGAGACCGTGGAGGTGCGGGCGGAGAGCACTTGTATTTTTGTCAAGAATGTATCGTCCCCCCCCACACCCTGTACTCCGCAGGCGGGGTCTCAGTTAAGCGGTTTGCCTTATTGTTCGAATCGGTATCGGTTTACCTATAATTCTATCGCACTTTAGTACCAAAGCCACCCGAATCTTCGTGATTTAGGTGTGGGATATTAGCATCAAGCATCAATATCCCATTATAGCATAGTCTCCTAGTGAAATAAATTATTCTAGCAGTTTTTGTGTTATTCGTTAAAAAAATACGAATCTTCCTTATAATATAGTGTAGATAAACAACAATTCACCAGAACAAATATTTGTACTCATAACGCAAATATTATGATGCCTAAAATATTTATGTTTTCAATTTTGATACAATATCATCACTATGTTCTTTTTTCCAGTAACACTTCACTTACACTTCGTTAAAATTAAAATAAAATACATAAAATTTTTGTAGTACTGGTACTCAATGACTAAGTTCAGGAATCTGCCCAGGGTCCATTCATCATCATCATCATTATCAGCCTATTAATGTCCCCACTGCTGAGGCACGGGCCCTACCTACGAATAGAATAGGGACATTGGGCCATGACCCACCACGCGGGCACATTGCAGATTGGCGGGTGCTAATGACTGCAAATGCAGCCCGGACCAACGGCTTAACGCCTTCCGAAGCACGTAGGAACTCGAGTTAGAAGAATATTGGTCACCCATCCAATGAACGACCACTGCGAAAATTGCTTAACTTCAACACGCTAACCACCCGCGCTATCGTGGGTTCATTACTTTATTAATATTGACAGCAGCCAATGTATGACACTATTTTTTATTTATTTATAAGGGTGGTCAACAAGCTCGATGGTAAGCGGCCACCATAGCCTATAAACTCTTGCGATACCAAAGCTATCACTCTCACCATTGACTACCCTTACCCAGTCTCCTACCCCGTGGGGTACTGGAATCTTATACAATGTACCGACAGAAACGCAACTCCACCAAAAGGTAGTGTACTGTGATCAAAATCCGCTATGCCCTACCGCACTTTAAAAGCAATTATTAAATCGAAAAGATTAATTCAGTTTATCCGAGGTAAGTTACCAGCCCTGCTCCCGGTCCGACATTATCCGCTAAAGAAGTCAATGCTCCCGGGACGACGGCCCCAACTTCCACCAGGAAGGTACAGTAGGCACAATCGGGGATGGAAATGAAACGATAAAACTTAATTGATTTTTTATCGGAAGGAAAGGAATAAGATAGGAAATAAATCGCTTTCGGAAAGCGGGGGAAAAACTTGTTGGTGATTCGCTTATTTTCGATTGCTCTCGACGACCGGAATAACAGCCGAATGGCGCATTGATAGTTATTGCTCGATATCTACTTACGATGATTAAGTTTCAGTCATAAATGGAAGTCGAGAGAATAGAGTTTATTAAGATTAATGATCCCCCTGCCGTTGACGCAGGGAGACCAATCATTTATCTAAGAGAGTTTAAAAAAAACGGCCAAATGAGTGTCGTGTCACGGTTCCGCAGTTGCCTGTCGTTACCACAATATATTTGAGCAGGATTTTTTATTTTCTGCATCGGAAATGAAAAAAACCAATTGATAACAACCTATGTTTCTCAACTAAAACACCTAAATCAAAGTCAAACTGCGTCTCAAACTTAAAATCAATTCGATATTATTATTATTTTAATAGGAATGATAACCGCCGTTTTTTTTGTTTCCACCCAGGCAGGGTAGCGGTTGTGAAATTCTCATGGATACCCTACAGCCGGCTGCAAGGTTATGTCAGACTGTTACTGACTTAGACACACCCAAAGTTCATGCTTATGGCCGGAAGGGGCTTACAAGCTTCATCTGAAGCGATTATCCCTTGAGAAAGGGATGATTCGGTATAACTGCCGATTTTAAAATGCTTATATACTCTTTATAAAAACATAACGTTACGTAACTCAGGAGCCGTTGTAGGTACTCGCGGTAGCGTTCTGGAACTAATGATATTTTATTTATTTATTTATTTTGTACACACACAATAAAATATTAGAAAAAAGAGAAACAAGAGACATGTACAAGGGTACTGCTTATTTCATAATGAAATTTCTTCAAGCAGGCCCACGATAGGAAAGAACATACAAAAAGGCAGTTAGTGTGTGCTCCTGAATAAATATAACATAATACAATTGCAATACATACATAAACATATAATACATATATATACAATATTAACAAATAAATTAATATATATTAATATAAAATGAATAAAAACTAACTAGGAGAAGCAATAAAGTTTTAGATATTCAAGTAGAAAGGTAGTGTTCCTTGAATCGTTTTTTAAAGGTAGAAATGCTCTGGGCGTCTCTGATTTCTGCTGGCAACGACTTCCATAAGCGGATGGCATGTACTGTAAAAGAGTAGGATGCAAAGTCAGTTTTGTGAGTAGGACATTTGAGAAGGGATTTTAGGTATTGTGTTTTTTAAATAGTTTTAATTTATTTATTTGCAATGCAAGGTTTTACTAATAATATTATCTTTTACTCTGACATATAAGATAATAATAGTATGTTATAGATATAAAAGATGATAATATTGTTATTATTTAACTTGAATGTGTTTGTAAAAACGGCGAAATTTCGATTTGTTACAGATTTTCGAGGCTCGAGATCTTCCGATCAAAGACATGTCTGGTAGCAGTGACCCCTACATCAAGGTTTTCCTGTTGCCGGATCGGAAGAAAAAGTTCCAGACCAAAGTTCATAGGAAAAATTTGAATCCAGTTTTCAATGAGACCTTCCTTTTCAGGTACGTCACATTTACATGGGTACTGTGACGCTCGTAGCGTTACGGCCTCCTTGCTTGTATAAACTCTTTGCTGATGTAATGCCTACGGCTGGCAGTTATATTAAAAAGGAAAATGTCATTATTTGAAAGATTTGAATATGAGAACCTTCTGTCTCATACCGAAGATTCTAAGAGATAGAATTCAGGCACAGACTCGAACGGTTGATAGAAATATTATTATATTTTCTATGAGTTTAAATAAAAGAAGTAAACATTTCGAGCATTATCACTTATAGCGGTAGAAAAGCTACAACCCCAGGGCTTCCCTTCAGGGTAAGCCCTACAGTACTTACTTAACTGATATTGAAAATTAATAAAAAATGTGTTTGCGTGACAATTGTGTTTAGATATGTTGTGTTTGTTACAGTCTAAATAAACTTAGAATTAATTAAGTACACAAATATATATTCCTATATATACACAGACAAATGAATGCATAATTATATTTTTCCTGAATAAATTTTATTATTAGGTGTTAGGGAGCTCCTATAATCACCAAAATTTACCATCAACACGATATTTCATTCAATGTTGCGGGTGCCAAAGTTTCGCCATAATGAAATAAGTTTGATTTTGGGCTCACTTACTAATTATATTTCATCGGTCGACTTGAAGTTCACGGAACAACCTCTTAAATTGAAAATGTTGGACATTTATCAAAGCAAATGGCGCTGAAGTAATTTACTGGAAACTGTTTCACTTTCAAATTCTAAATAACTGACAGTCGAAATAATAGATTTTTTGAAAGCGAGAATGAATAATTACTAGCCTTTGATGATTTGTGTACTAAACAGTTGTGGCAGAAAGCAGATGACGGAAAGGCTTAGTAACGATAGAATTGTTAGCGTTTTAAAGGTCAGAACTTTTAAAAACCCACATTGAAGTTGCTTCCGATTGTGAAGATTTTTAAAGTGATGATAACGGAAGCGAAGCAATCGCCTCTGTTGAGGAGATTCGTAAACACTGCCTTAGCAGCAATATTAAGTTTGCTCTTTAACCTTTTGCTTACAACTTCTTAGAACGAATTCTGTCTCCTTTAATTATTAGTTCCTTCCAACTTTTATTTGCTATTAAACGATTAATTATTTTGTTGGTAAAAGTTTCCCCTTGTCGTTAGGTTTGGCAATTAGTTTTGAGATGACAACTTCGAGATGAATGAGTAGGAGGTTATGAAAAAACAGTCTTTCATTACGTTAAGATAATATAGTTTGTTTTTGAGAATTTTAATGAAGTTCAGAAACGCGAGAAAGTTAGCTCTGTTAAGAACTTTTTTTGCAGAATGTTGATGATTTTTTATTTGTTTTCAAAGGAGAAATGCAACATGTATGAGTGATAAAGCCCACATTTTTTTTATTAGAATTAGAATTTATTTATTTGCATTTGAATAGGGTACACTGGGGATTTTACAAATTTTGAAGTTCGGCCCATTCAGCCATCTGCAAATATTTTACACTACATTACTAAACGTAATACATATTAATTTACATTGTGACATCATTTTACAGTATCAATAATAATACATTTAAATTCATCAAATATATAATAAGTTAGTGAAATTACAAAAACTGTCCGCTTCATTTTATAAAACATCATACAAGATTAAATACATGGTTAAAAAATTCAAAAGTCAAATTAATAATGTCAAAGATTACAATGTCAATTATAAAACACCATTAGGTAAAGAGAAGAACCTCATCATCAGCCTATTAATGTCCCCACTGCTGGGGCACAGGCCTTCCCTATGGATGGAATAGGGAGATCGGGCCATGACCCACCACGCGGGCCCAGTGCGGGCTGGTGGGTGCTAACGACTGCAGATGCAGCCAGGACCAACGGCTTAACGTGCCTTCCAATGCACGGAGGAACTCGAGATAATAAATTTTCGGTCACCCATTCCAATGACCGACCACTGCGAAAGTTGCTTAAATTCAACGATCGCAGCGGAACGCGCTAACCATTTGCGCCATCGAGCTCCTCATCAAAGAGAAGAACCTACTATAATAATATGTCATTAAAATGTCACTAGTTACAATCACTCAAATATTCTTTCACACTATAAAACATCTTACCGTCTAGCCATTTAAACAAAGCAGTCTTAAATTGTATAAAATGCAATTGTTTTATGTTTGTTGGAACCTTATTATAAATCTGTACACACATCCAATAACAATTATTTTTAAATCGCATGCTCTTTGGAATTTTTACAGAGACTAGTCTATATCCATAGCGTGTATTTCGAGGGTACACATCTTCAGCTTGTTTGAAATGATGTATATTTTGCTTTACAAATTAGGCAACATCAAAAATGTAAAGGCAAGGCAATGGTAAGATTTTTAAGTGTTTATACAGCGGCCTGCGCGGTTCGTCAGGTACAGTTCTACATATAGCCCTACACATTTTTTTTGCCTTATTGTCTTCTCTACTACCTCCCCATACAATTAATCCATATCTCAAAACTGATTCGACATATGCAAAGTATGCTTTAAGAGCAGTATTTCTTGTAGTTATTTTGGTCAATTTCTATACCCAGGAAATTGGTTGTGTTCGGATTTTTTAGTGTTTGCCCTTTGGAGTTAATATTTACCAATGGAACTATTACAATTCATGAAACAGGTTTTGTTTATGTTTATAGTAAGATTATTCTGCTGAAGCCAATTTGCAATTGATCTAATTGTATTTTCTATGTCATCTTTATGGTCTTCAATGTTATTTTATTATCCGTTGTTATTACCACTGATATATCATCAGCAAAAAGAATACAACGATGTTCAGTCACGTCTGACAACTTGTTAGTATATACCAAGTATATAAAGGCTATGATATGTTTTTCTGGCATATAGAGACCTCTGCTCTGTCGCGCAAGCTTAGAATATTAAATTACAGTGGTAGTAAAGTTTGAGTACAAAACATCAAAATATTTACGTTATATGGGGTCCTTGTCTTACACTTATATTCATATTATTTTTACAATATTATGTCTATTATATTGTCATTGTAAGCATTGAACTGATAAATTTATAAATCTAAAAAAAATATTACCATTATATAATAAAAATAAAATAGATCCGAACGTGGCTGATACCTGTAGGCCTACTCTATTTCAACGGAAAACGAAATTGCGATCTAAATTTCGCACTTTCCTTACTCTGTTTCCTTTTCATTTCGAAAATTCGTTCGTCCGAAATAGTTTGACAATTAAATTCTCCAAGACTAGGTACTCTAATTCACAAAACTTTCGAAGGAAAAGTTGAATTTGACAGATAATTGTTCGAAATTTTAACCTCAAATTGACGAAATGAAAAGTGTTACCTTTTCATTTTCGTTTTCAGATTTTTGTTTTAATTAAGCCTAAAATACTTGCCAGAGTATTTTCAATAATAGCTGCTTAGCTCGAGAAACATTTTTAGCATGTAAAATTAACAAATAAACCGTTTTTTTTATTTTTTATTGTAATTTCGATACTTCAAAGTATTATCCGACAAATTTAGGTTGACATACAGTATGTTGTATCAACTCTACAAATTAGTTGGCTAACACTGTCAAAGAAGGTTCTTTCAATGTCATCAAAAAATTTGCCCTAAACTACCTATATTGTTTCCAAGTAAAAAAACGTTTTATTAAAAGTAGAGATCAAAAGAATTCACAAATAGTCGAGTCAATGAAGCTTTTTACCTGGAAACCCGGTGGAACAGCTTCGATTTTGATGATTTTTTTAATAATTTTGTTTTTTTATATTATTTGAAATCAGAAACCTCTGGAGAGGGGAAAATAATTTTTTATATTGTTTAAACAATTTTTATGACATTTTTGGAAAAAAATGATTTTTTATAAAATATCAATTGAAAACTCACAAAAAAAATATGTTTATGTTATTGTTTTCATATTGTTATCACAAATAACTTTAATTTACATGTTATTATATCAAAAACTTTTAAAAACAATTAATTATAAGATATTTCATGTAATATAAGAAATTAATAGTTTCATTATTAATATAAAAAAAAATATTAATAACAAAAATATATGATATATATATATATATATATATATATATATATATATATATATATATATATATTGGGTCAGAGGCCGCGCTCTCAAGGATCCCGAGGTCGATTCACTCAAAGCAGCCTACAATTTTGCTTCCAAGGCCTGTAAGAAGGCTTACATCAGAGCGGATGCCCAGCGCGTTGCACGTATTGGCCAGGAACTTATAACGCATCCTACGCTCCCGTAGGTACTGGCGTTTGGCCAAGGCCGTGCAAAAAACCTTCTGCCAGCCCTCGCTGCCACCTCCCAGACGGAACACTAGCTCATAAGCCGCAGGAGAAAGCCGATTTACTGGCAAAACTCTTTGCGGCTAACTCCCGAATCGATAATTGCAATGCACTACCACCATCATTACCTCACTGTGGCACAACGATGCTTGATATTAAAATAAGGCAGTGTGAGGTTCGTGCCGAATAGCAATCACTCGACGTCCGGAAAGCTAGTGGACCTGATGGCATCCCAGCAGTAGTACTGAAAAAATGTGCAACGGAGTTGTCTCCCGTGCTCACGCGCTTGTATTCTTTGGGGCGTGTGCCGGAGACTTGGAGAGATGCTTACGTGTAACTGGTGCCCAAAAAAGGGGATCGCTCAGACTCGGCAAACTACCGGCCAATAGCAGTCTTCTCAGTTTTATGTAAAGTTCTAGAAAAGCTCCTTAATAACCATCTGACCCGTCATCTTATTTTATATTTATTTTATTTATTTATCATCTTCAGGGCACAACACTACCGCTACAGAGCAACATTTCCATGCTCGGTATGGAAGTTCGCTCAGACCTGAATCCAAAGGACTACATCGAAACCGTGATCAAAACAGCTTCACGCAAACTCGGAGTCCTGAACAAGGTGCGGCGTTCTTTCACGCCCGATCAACTGTGCTTGTTATACAAAACGCAAGTGCGGTCCTGCGTGGAATATTGCTTGTACCTCTGGGATAGCTCCGCCAAGTACTTGCTCGATGCTTTGGATAGGTTACAGCGGCGCGCGATCCGCATCATAGGCGATGAAGAGGTGACTAAACACCTTGAGCCGTGACGTGGCGTCACTAAGCGCGTTCTATCGTCTGTACCACGGCGAGTGTACTGAGGAGTTATTCTCTCTTATCCCACCTTCCCCTTTCCTTCAGAGGACCACGCGCGCTGGCCTACGTTGTCACCGTTTTACTGTGGCCACAATTCCAACGCCTACAAAGAAATTTGGTGACTCATTTCTTTGTCGCACTATCCGTAAATGGAATGCTCTGCCCGCTCACGTGTTCCCTCCCTCTTACAACCTGGGATCCTTTAAAAGAGGCGTGAAGAAGCAACATGCAGGCCGGCAGGGTGAGGATGGCTGGTGTGGCAGGTAGAACTGCTGTATCAGCTATCTTCGCGTCTGGACTTCACCTTCACTTAACATCAGGTGGGGTGGAGTCATTTGTCGGACCTATCTATAATATATATATATATATATATGAAGTAACTAAAATATAACGTAAGTGCTCAACGCATTCGTATTATTGACCAATACATCGTATTTTAATTGTTTAAATATTAAATTATTATTAAATGCCTCATTTTAACAACTATTTTTTATACTTACATAAACATAATAATATTTTTTTCAAAAAAGCGATAAAACTGATTTTTTTATAAAAAATGTCATAAATATTGTTTAAACAATAAAAAAAATTATCCACCGGGTTTCCAAGTTTTGCCTGTTTTATGTTTTTATTGACTCGACTAAAACATGACTCATTCCATTCGCTCACGAAAACTGTTTATGGTTCCGAAGTTAATGTGCCTGTTCGAAAATGAAATAGAGTAGAGTCAAAGGCGAAATTTCGTTTAAAATTCGTTCGTTACCGAAATTTCGTTTCGGAGAAAGAGAGTAAAGCTCCTGGACGGAATAAATTTTTATTTTTTTATGTTAAAAAGGTGGCAAATAAGCGAATGGCCCGCCTGATGGTAAGTGGCCACCATAACCTATAGACCTTTGCGATACCAAAAATATCATTCGCACCATTGCCTACCCTGACCCAATCATCTACCCCGTGGAGTCCTGGAACCTTACTCACCGACTGAAATACAACACCATCTAAAGGTTATGTTATTTTACTGTGGTCTTCTGTAAGGTGGAGGTTACCCAGACGGGCGCTCGAATTCGAGAGGAAAACCCGCTTTGCCCTACCTCTCTTAATAATTGGATTTATTGCTATTAATTTTTTCTATAGATTTAATTGTTGTCTTATTGATGGCAGTACAGTTCCACCTGTTTCGGTGCATAAGACTGGGGACACGACAAGTTAAAGCTGCTTTTGTTTCTAATACTAATATACGTCATTGTCAAACCAATATCAGCTATGTACACTTTTTGGTAATTTTGACATTTTCATCATTATGCCTATAATATGTCTTCATCAAGTGGTTTTGTTGGCAGTGTACCATATGAGGAGTTGCGCCAGCGCTACCTCCAGTTCTCCGTGTACGACTTCGATCGGTTCAGCCGGCACGACCTCATCGGCCACGTGGTCCTCAAGGGTTTACTGGAGTCGGCGGATCTTCATCAGGAGATCGAATATACGATGAACATACTAGCTGCTCCACAGGTAAGAACAGTAAAATACGCCCACCAATCCGCACTCCCCCTATTCCATCCATATTGAAGGCCTGTGTCCCTGCAGTGGAATCAATAATAGGCTGATGATGATGATATGTATGAATAAATAAATGCTCAAATATTAATCAATTTAAGTAAGTAGCCTAAACGATGGATTTTTCTAAGGTAGCATGCAACATATTGGTATTTTATAGAATACTATTTGATTTACTCCATATTTTGATAATTTTGTATGTGTCATCATCATCAGCCGATGCTGACGCCCACTGCGTGTGCGGACATAGGCCTTCTCTAGGTATCTCCAAACACAACGATACTGAGCTTTCTGCATCCAGTGGATCCCTCCGATTCGCTTGATATAGTCAGTCCACATGGTAAAGGGTCTACCGACACTGCGCTTCCTGGTCCGATGTCACCATTGAAGCACCTTAGGACCCCAACATCCATGGGTCCGCCAAACAATGTGCCCCGTTCATTGCCACTTCAGCATGCCAATCCATTTAGCTATGTCGGTTATTCGAGTTCTACTACAGATTTCCTGATTTCTGATTCAATCACGTAGAAAAACACCGAGCATATCTCTCTCCATCGCACGCTATGCGACTCCGAGCCTTCTTATGAGGCCCTATGTCAACGACCACGTCTGAGCTACGTATGTAATTACTGGCAACAAGCACTGTTCGAAGACCTTGGTCTTCAGGCACTGAGGTATTTCGGACGAGAAGACATCGCGAAGTTTCCTGAACGCTGCCCGGCCGAGTAAAACTCGGCGATTTACCTCTTTCTCGAAATTATACTTATCCAACTTAACTACTTGTCCTAGATATATATATATATATATATATACAATTTCGAGTGCAGAGTTCTCAAAGATTACCAGGTGGAGCGGAACATGAGCGTTGGGCATGATTTTCGTCTTACTCATATTCATTTTAAGGCATTGTATTGAGATCCTATTGTATAGAGATTTGTATGTGTATTTTGGTATTTTGTTTGATGTTTTAGTACACTGAACGTGTTTCGTTTATATATTTAGCTAAAATTTCTGAATTTTACGCTGAGTCTATTTTCTCTGATATCAATAGACGATATCTTTGTTTATTTGACGTAAGAACTTAATATTATGGGAATAATTACCAGGCTTAAATAAAAAAAAACTATTTTTAATTCTTGTGAACGTAGGAATGTCACTATTTACTATTTCAGGACTATAACTGCGTACTTATAAGACTATTTAAGATCCTAAAAAACAAATTAAATAGCTCGTGATCTTGTACCTGGATGTTTCAAACGCATATACGTAGTTACGAACCATAAGTTTGTGGTAACAATTTCTATATGTTTAGGTACTGTATTTTTACTAAGATGTCACCATAACGTTGCGGTTCGGTACTTTGAGACAAATAAAATAGGTTAGGATGATACAGGCCGCGGCTACTCTAGCGATGAACAAAACGCGGAGGGGATAACTGCTGATAGGTAGGACTTGAGAGCCAATCGGCGCAACGCACGCCCGCCCGCACACCCTGTTTCCCCCCAAGACATCTAAATTTTTACTTCTGCGCAATAACTGTCAGCGCTAGAGCTTCGTGCCGCGACTTCATCTGAAAGGAAGGATACGTGTTTATGCTTAACTATAATATATCGTTGATGTTTGTTGCAACAACAAAGATGTTTCTATTCTTCTATCATGTCGGCAATTCACTTGGTTATTTGTATTTGCTGCATGTAAACTTGTTGATCAACCTCTCCTTATCATGTTTTATAAGGAATGAAAAGGACAGACTGATGTCAAGTTTACAAGTAGCAAACAAGAACAGCCAAGTGAAATACTGGCACCATGATAAAGAAGAAGGTAGTAAATTTATTCTTTTAATTTTTAAGCATTTCACTGATAGATGTTTAAATCTAAAGTAAGTATTGAGGTTTTTACACATAATTGTGTTTGAACAATTACCATTAGCAATGACTACAGATAACTTTGATTTAAATACGCTCCTTCAGCTGTACATACAAATTTATCGTCTCCTACGACCTCTTTTATACGTGTCAAGTCAAGCTTTCGTCTAGCGTCTATAATAGAATTAATTTAAATTTCGGGCGCCCATTTTAGCGCATTTATAATAGTAGCAAAGCCACCCAAACTTTCGTCGTGCAAGTGTGGGAGAAGCATAAGAAAGGGATTCTTTATGTCCTATTTTTATGTAGCAACATTTTTTATCAATTGAGCATCCAATTTAATGGCTTTGATCGTACATTGGTGAGATTTGATCTCGATTTGCTCATTTCAATAGAGCACGCAAATAAACGCCGTTTTCTTTCCTTCAGATAATCTTAAACTTCAGGTACATTTTTTACTCCTATTCCTTAGAATTCTCGCTATCAGCAATACATTATTCCTTACACGCTTCTGTGGAATGGAAATACCTTCTCAGGAATCCCATTCTCCGAACACAGTAAGGGTTTTTTTTTCAAGAAGCACTTTAAAAAGGGCTTTTAAGGGTTGAAGATACGCACGTGATGTGACAAGCCATTGTAGACGCTTCCTTCAATGCTAAATGTGTTTGACATAAGGCTTTACTCATCACCTACCAGATAATGCTTACACTATAAGCAATAAAGTCGAATATTAAAGTACAAGCGTTGGCTGAACTTACGATACGTATACGTACGATATGGTGCGTGGTTAAGAGGTAATTATTATTGAAGATTTTTACGTATGCTCTCAACAATGAAACGTATAACAATAGGTAATTTAAGTTAATGTGACTTAAAAAACCTATAGTACACTACACGAAGATATCACTTTCTAAGAAGCTAAACATATTTCTAGCTCTAAGAAATTTGATTTCCTCTGAGCGTATTATGTATCATTTCCTCTGAGAGTATCATTTCAGATGAATGCTTCGTTTGTAGATTAGAGGCCCAAATTCACGAAGGAGTTGTTTTGGTGATTTACGCTTCTACTTGCAGTATTAACAAGCATCAGGTGTTATTTGTATAAAGTGGATTTGATAAGTTTGCATCAATAGTACGGGTACTATAGGTTTAGGTGTTACAAAATTTTGCTTCTTGGAAATTCTATCTTGATGTTTCAAGTAAAATTCATTAGTTGAATCGAACGCTAATTTTAGCGTATTTTAGTACCAAAGCTTCGTCACTCTGGTGTAGGAGAAGCATTACAAAACAATATCAACGCAAAATGCAGATATTACAAATCAAAGATCTTGTACAGTAGGCGGTCTTATCGACTGACAGACAACTCTTTCAGACAACTCACTGAGCAAGAAGCAATAAGATAAGATTATATTAATACTACTATTAAATGAAACGGTTATAGAAAATATTCCTTTTGTCACAACATTCTTAAAAACAAACATTCTTTAGGTCACGTAGGTACCTAAAGAATGTAAGAAAAGGATTTATGATTGGGATTCTCAATTCAAAAATTTAGTTATAAGAATTCTATTTTTTATTCTTAATTTACAGTATCATCTGAATATTTATTGTTACACACACACATTTGAAGAGAAATTCAGCATTGTCATATTTTTATAAAATGCTTTTTAAACAGAAAAGATTTCTTAATCAGAGGCAGCTTTTTTGTTAGCGACGCGCTCAATTAGATTAATTAGATTATATTTTTTACTAAAAATGTAAGTTAGTGCGATGCCCCTGCCAATCCCGCGGAGAACCATTACAAGCCGTTGCACGGGCCCCAACTAGTCTGCCGCGAGCCGCAAAAATACAAGAATCTCACCCAAAAGGCAGCGTAAAATCTGAGCTTGTGAAGAACGGACAACCGCTCAATCCACCAACTTCTACAATGGGCGCACCGGCACTGGATGTCATTGCTGCTGCTACACCAGCTCGACTGCAGCAACAACTCACGTAAGACGATGGAGAAACCTTTCGGGATCCGAAGAGCTTGCAAATTTCAACGTCATCTTCCGTCAAGGCAAGACGCAAAAGTTTAAAACTGGAAGCAGCAGAGCAAAAGGCTAGGATACAAATGGAACTAATCGACAAAAAACTCCAAGCAGACGTAGCCGACTTAGAAGACGAATACAGTTCACAGCAACGTGAGCATACTCACTCCGAAGTTGAGAAGTGGCAAAGACAACACGAAATGGATACGGCCCAGCCAGCGCCCGCTAATGGCCCCCCTCCGGGTGCGCTGGACCCCTTGCATGGAACCGTCGAACTATTGGCGACCGCACTGAAGCAAATCACCACTTCTGCAACTAATAATGGACACAACAACACTCAATTGTTAAGTAGAATGAGTGTACCAAAAGACCAGAGTTTTATGGAGATTGAATGGCTGCAATTCAAACAGGCATATAAAGAGTCTACGAAAATATGTGGATTCAGCGATATAGAAAATATCTGGAGACTACGAAAATGCTTACGGGGAGCACCAAAAGTCTCCGTTTTGGCACTTCTCGTTTCTTCCTCTTCGCCCAATCAGCTGATGTCCACACTGGAACTGAGGTTTGGCAATCCGGATATAATTTTACACAAAATAACATAAGAAATTAAAAGATTACAGCCGTTGCCGCCACATTACCTAAGTGAAATAGTTCCATTTTCTGTCAAAATAGAGAATTACTTAACAGCTGTTCGTGCAGTGGGGCGCGACGAGTCTTCGTGGAGTTCATATAACAAATATTATTTTATCGAATCTTCCTACGACATTGATATCTAAGTGGTCTGATTAAAGTTTCCCAAAACTCAAAGATAGAAAGAATAAGTCCAGAATAAACATAATATCAGAATTTTTACGCGAAGAAGCAATTAAAATATCTACCACTGCCAATATAATCACTATGGAAACGCACAGTTTTAATCAAAAGAAATATTCAAACCGTGACGGTATTGCTAAGGGTTCCCATACCGTTATGTCATTTGATATAATGGAAAATTGTAATTAATAGGGTCTGGGTGATTACTGACCAAAAAAGGGTCAGCAAAAATGACGACTTCCGTGGCCGAGTGGTTTGTACGCCGGGTTTCATGGTGTCGCCGACTCGAGAGGTACCGGCTTCGAATCCCGGTGGGGGCAGATGTTTGTGTGATGAATACGAGCATTTTTACTCCAGTCATGGATGTTTAATATGTATTTCTATATAAATATACTTTTAAATATACAGTATGTGTATTCTATTCGTTACCCTAGCATCCCATAACACAAGCCTTACAGTGCTTACTTAGGGGCTAGGCTAATTGGTGTGTCGGTAATATTTATTTATTTATTATTTGTTGAATATTTCTTTCTGTCCCATGTTATTTTATTCTGCCGCACTCGAGTGAATCCAAAAGCTTGGACTCCCCAACTATATTGTTTATGACACAGTTCCTGTTACTAAAACTTAAAATAACAAATGCAATTGATAAAAACAGCAAATAAGTATAAAAATATAGTTGTGATATTATATAGTTGTGAATAAATTCGCCTGTGTGATTTGAAATTTATTTTTGACATTCGTATTCCAATTTTAAATAACACCCTATTATGTTTTTACGGTATAGCACATCTGGTTGTCAATATTTTATATTTTATCTATGGATAGTGTAGGACTTGATGTAATCTTAACGAATGTCTTCTGTTTTTAATCACAATTGAATTTACCAGGAAAAGAAGGACCTCGGTGAACTGATGCTGTCGCTTTGTTACCTGCCCACTGCGGGGCGGCTCACAGTGACTGTGATCAAAGGACGAAACCTGAAGGCGATGGATATCAACGGATCTTCAGGTGAGAGCTGTGATTTTTGATAATTTTATAAGTTTTACTATAAAGCATTATGTCTTTCCAACAAACATAAATAGATACGAGTTGCCGTTTACTGTTTGAAATGCTTAGATTAAAACAAAAAGGGTAGATACGGTATGCTCATACTTGCATCAAACAAAAACTGATCCCACGGCAGCGCGAACGGGACGGCGACATCCGCGTCACTGCATTACCAACCCGAACGAAACAGCATGTTAAGTTTCAACGGCAGCGCGAACGAGACGGCGAGATCCGCGTCACTGCACTACCGACCAATCACGCGACCAGTACTCGATGTCACTACCGAATAAGATTCAAAACAAACAGCAATTTTTATGAAAAAATATATTTTATAGTACTTATGAATGAAAAGTGATGCTGTGGGTGTTATTTTAAGTTCTTGAGCAATTTGAGCACTTTTTAAAAACACACTTAGGCATTGTTTTATCATATAAACATAAAATATTAGCAATTTTTCTTTTTGGCGTTCACATGTACGTCATTTGCATGTCAAGTTGTGACTAAAGCGATTAGGGTCGTGGACCACAATTCATGCGGATCACTTTTGTGAGGCTAGTGCCGTATCTACCCTTTTTGTTTTAATCTAAGTTGAAATGGCAGATATTCCTTCATATGGGCAAGTGGGGGATAGTGTAACTTAAGGAATATATTTATAATATACCCGACTATTTGACGGCTGATGACAGCTGCTTAAGATGGCGGCATATGAAACCTTAGATTAAAACAAAAAGGGAAGATATGGTACGCTCATACGAGCATCAGATAAAATATGCTCCGACTCAACCACAAGCAACTCTCAGACACGCACGCTTCTGTAAATAAACATGCAATCGAGCGAGCGAGACAGAACTGTACGCTTCAACGCAGCGCGAGCAAAACGGCGAGTCCGCGTCGCTTGGCAACCGACTGCGTTTTCTTTTCTCTCTCTACAAAGTACTGAGCTGTATTGTTGTCCTTTTCTTGATAACAAATGGTAAATATAAGCAAATAACATTCATGTTTTTATACATTTAAGAATGAAAAGTGTTGCCTTGGAATTTGGTAGTCTATCTTGAACTATTTGTGTTCTTTTTAAAAGCATCGAAGGCATTCTTTTATCTTTATAACACAGAATATATGCAATATTGTTATACAATATTGAGTACACATGCAGCGTGTTTGAAGGTCTCATTGTGACAAAAGCAAATTGTGGTCATGCATCACAATTTAAGCGGATCACTTTTGAGCCACGAGTGCCGTATCTTAATTTTTTGTTTTAGTCGAAGTATGAAACTAATATTCCACAGTAAGAAAAGGGCAGATATATTGCTTATGTTAAACTGTGCCCCTTGTTACACTGCCCCCACGTGACCTAACTTTAAATAAACTTTAGATTTTTTTTCCTAAATGGCTTCGCACGACTTGTGCATTTAGCCAATGTCAAGTGTTAAGTGGCAGTCAAGTCAATCCCCCTTTCCCTATGTTTCAGTAAATGTGTGGGGATTTACTGGAACCTCCCCGTGGACTTCATGAGGGAACGTCGAAAGACACTTTCCGCTATTTTCTTTCACTGGCCAACACTTGTGCATGTTCCCGAACACTTAGTGATTAAAAATCCACCATTATTAGACACTAACATCCGCTACAACACAATTTTTAACAAGAAAAACAAAACTGCTACAGTGACGCTTCCCGATCCCGCCAAAAAGTCCCTTTAGATTTATGTGAAGGATCATTGTTATAGAATAAGGTACTTACTTCCCCTTCCTTTACTTCTATTACAACTATTTTTACTATTTATGAGGCGGAGCAACATGAGCTAAGTTAAGTGGCCTACTGAGACTCGATCACTGATGCCTTGAGTTCGGAAAAAGCATCTTTTCAACTTTAAATATAATTGTCTTGATTATTTAGGATAGTCGTATCTAAGATGTTCTACCATTGAAGTTCTGCTACCCCTCTTAGTCTTCAGTAGTACGGCGGGGTGTGTCCGTAACTCGATACCATGCGTCTATTTTGCGCGAAGAATGGCACCCCGTGCGTACTTCGCTTGATCGACAGCGTGCGCGCTCAGTAAATTTCGAACATATCATTAAAGAAGCTTGTAAATGTCTAGTAAGTAAATATTGAGATTGACATTAGAGTAAATTTCATTATATATGTTACGCTCAAAGATCGAAAACGCTCAGTGAGCGGAAAAATAGCTCACAACGCGTTGTGGTCACAGTAAAAAAACCACATCGTGAAATTCGTGTTATGGCTATAATGAAAACGCGCACGACGCGTTGTGGCATTCACAGAAAGACCATATAGCAAAATTCGTGTCGTGGCTGACATGCTATTCGATCTCAACGCGTTGTGGCAATGAAGAAAAGCCATGACGCGTTCTGAGCATTCATTGTTTTAACCATATCACGACGGACAGGTTGTAAGTTGATAGAGGACGTGCAGTACCCAGGAATGTTATGTGTGTTGTTATGATTAATTCATCAGGTCTCTACCAGTTAGGAAACAAGGAAGGTACATTCGATAGACTTTATGAGTTTACACTTTCTGAAATCAACTTTATTAACTTTTGTGATGTGCCCTCAACTTCGTCATTAACACTTCGCTCAGCATCTATGTTATCATCTGGAAGTAAGGAAGGGTTTATAATGTGCCACTGCAAAAGATAATGTATTGATAAAAAGTGCAAGTGTCGCTCCAATAATATAAAAAGCAACTCAAAATACCACAGTAATAGTTCCTGTAAAAATAAATAGCAATCAAATACTTATTTTTCACATATATAGTCATTTCTAATAAAAGTAATTGATTTAAGTGCATTGTTGTTGTTTATTGGTGATCATGTTTGTGTTAAATATTTATATTACTTGAAAGAATTTTAAATTGTCATAAAAAAATTAAAATCGCTAATTATTTTAAGTGAATTATAAGTAATTTACAATTGATTAATATTTTGTGTTCAGTAATTTATTACTTAATACGTTGATTTTTTTTAAATATAAAGTAATCTCAATAAATAACAAATATCGTTTTATTTTAATTAATATAATTATATAACATATTTAATAATGACAAACACGCTATGCAGTGATTTTATAAAATATTTCCTAAAGACATCTACCAAAACGTTTCCACTCTAGGCCTAGTAGGATCCATATCAGAAAGTAGTGTGCGTTGTAATTAAATAATATTCCATACGCGTCATGGCTTTTCTTCATTGCGACAACGCGTTGAGATCGAATAGCATGTCAGCCACGACACGAATTTCGCTATTTGGTCTTTCTGTGATTGCCACAACGCGTCGTGCGCGTTTTCATTATAGCCATAACACGAATTTCGCGATGTGGATGTTTTACTGTGACCACAACGCGTTGTGAGCTATTTTTGTTTTAATGTGACCTGCTGATGCGTTGGACCTAGTTCTGTAAGTCAGCATGTTTCTTGATTAAATAAATAAATAAGTCCTGCCATCCCAGCTCCTCCAGAAAGCCCTGCAGTCCCCGGATGTTGCTGCAGGCTTTTAGTAGTGTCCGTGGATTTCTCGGTAGAGAAGTCCTTTGTCATGCAACGCCTCTACACTATATCTGCTACTTCTTATATTTTTGTAAATGATCCTTGTATTTATTTGTTTACATCTATAAAGTATGAGAAGGTTATTTGTAATCCTATGATAGGTATCTACAGCGAGCATTCACAGTTTGTCGTATTTCTTCGGGATAAGAAAGGAACGGAAATCTTTTGTGTCAGGGGTCTATTCAACATGTACGTTTTCGAGAAGGACGCGTTTTATCATGGTGGCACTGGCGGTATTGATAAAAATGTATTAATATTTTACTCATTTTATCGGTCTAATATTTTAATCACTTATTTGATACTTAGTTGCTAGTAATTATAGCTATTGTTTTATGTAGTGTAGTGGAATAGAATCATTTAAAACATCATTATTAATGAGCTGATGTTCATGTTTATCTATTTGCTGAATTAAGCTGATTGTGTTGCAAGTATTTATCGTGACAATGCACAAAGCTTCGTGGTGATACTTCGCTAAAGTTATCTATGATAATGTGTAACTTTCTCAATGGCATTCTTCGTAAACCAACATCCTTGGTAAACAGACAATGGAAGAAACGTTAGTGCCTGTCCACATCTCAACTTACGACCAGATTTGCAACGTTACCAGCAATTTAAATTGTCAAGTAGGCAAATGACTCTACCCCCCCCCCCCCCCCCACCTTATTTTAAGTGATGATAAAGTCCAAACGCGCAGATACCTGGTACAGCAGTTATAAATTGCCACACTTGTTACCTGCCCACTGCGGGGCGGCTCACAGTGAACGGCTCACGGCTCAAATGACTCTATCCCCCCCCCCCCCACCTTATTTTAAGTGATGATAAAGTCCAAACGCAAATATAGCTAGTACAGCAGTTATAAACTGCCACACCGACCATCTTCACCTCGCCGGCCAGCAAAGCCGGCCTTAGTCTGTGAGAGTACAATTTCGAGTATACAGAATAGACCTCGTTCGTTTCGTATAATAATCCTGTGCAAGAAAGACATTTAAAATCCTTTTTTGCCATTGTGTCCGACAAGCACAAAAGTAAAACGACATTGTATACAAAAGTCAAGATCGGAAATCAATTACAATTGAGTACTTCTAGAGTTCCATTTTGAATTGAACGAATGACGAAAGAAGAGAGATATGCAGTTATTATGCTTAGTAGAATAGGTATATTAAAAATTTAAGAATGAATTAAATTTCTTCCGGACTGCTGCGTAAATTGTTTGTGCTATTTCGCATTGAGACTTAAAATACAAACGTTTATTTATTTATGTCTCTGTTAAAAACTTATATTGGTTAGATTAGAGATGAGGTAGTTTTTTATATGTAGGATGCACTTTGCATGGTTGTTTTGGTTTATTTTAATAACCTCGCCCAGGTCCTGGTGAGAAAGTACTTTCTCAATGTGTCAGCATAAGCTAAGACATGGTCCTGATTGGCCATCTGAGATTTTTATGTTCTTTTTATTTTTTTGTTCGTTAGGTTAAGTTTTCTTGTATTTTTTAATTTTATTGTTGTGTTCATAAGTTTTTGTTTTGTTAAGATGGCTAATAAAAAGTTTTCATTCCATCATTATATCCAGAATAAATATTATAGAGAAATAATAAGTCCAGCCGCAGAATTTGGTATGACCACGCGATTAAACTTCTCTTTTGATAACTATGCAACAGGAAAATGAGTTAGCTTCTATTAAACTATTTTTTTTAAAACGCCAACTATTTTTTTTAAAGAAAACTTTAGGTTAATATCAACAATTACTTTTACTTGTCCTTCTAGTTTATACATTGCCACGTTATTTACTAACTCAGTCACGGATTTTACAACTTATTATCATTTTCCGTTTTACAGCTTCAACACAGGTTTCTCAAAAATGTATCATTGAAGCTTCAATAGACAACAATCCTATACTATATTATAAGTAAGCATCATTATTAATAAGTGATATTGTTTTATCGTAAAAATTGCCAGTATCTTCTATGTAAACCCTATTTAATTATAAATCAGCATAGTGGTTATTTTTAGTATCTAAAGTAACATGTATTCAAGCTGTAAACTTCTAAAATTTTAATATATGGCATCAAAGTAGTAATTCTATTAGCGCCTAATTTTATAACTCAGTACGTTCAGAATGTAACTCATATTACATTAATTGATCGTCAAATTTATATATAATTTATCATCATATATAGGAGTAAATGGCGACGGATTGAGATTGTAATTAGAAAATAATGTGTACTATACAGGAATAAAAAAATTAACAAGAATACAAAACAATCAAAACTTAACAGAGATAATAATATTGATTTGAAACGTCGCATGACGTCATGTCTTGGTACAATTTTGTACTTGAAACTGACGTCACGTGCCCCCACTACTAAACTTTCACGCGCTTAATCATTGTAATTTTTTGGTTGATTGACAAAAGAAAAAATGTGTCTATTATTTTTAATAATCAATCTGAACGGACTAAATAAAATTTCGTTTTTTTTACCCCGTAATCATCATTGATAATAATAATAAAGTTTTGTTTCTCTTTCCATTACTGATCATACATACATAACAAAATAAATAAATCTTAAGACAAAATGGTTTGTGACTCAGTGAGCACGGAGAACCCACGGTCTCTGCTATTCTGTCACAAATTTTCCAAATAAAAATACGGTGTCGCCTTATGAAGACACAACACAAAATATACTTGGATATATCAGGAATTCACAGGATCAAAGTGCCACCCATGATCTACACAATATGTTATAGTTTTATATAGAAAGTATATCTTAAATTAGTTAAATCATACACCAGTAGTAGCCCAAGAGCTACTGAACCCTCCGAGTAACGGTCTGTCTGTAAGGCTAGAAATTCTTATGGTGATGGGCCATAGAATGCTTAAATGTTACAGTAAGCATCATCTGGCACTCCTCAGCCCTGCACGTCATCAGGCCGTATATTTTTGAAAGTGTCCAAAAATATTAAAAAAAAACTTGTTGCTGTAAGCTTGAAATTTTTATACAATGTAGTTTATTCATTTTTAAGTTTAAAAAAAAATGCCAGACGTTTACGATGAGCACAAGTACTTGCCAGACGAACCGGAAGGTGTGTAATATATACATAAAAATAAACTTTATTCTGTAAAGTTGAAATTTATATATGTGTTTGTTTAAGCGATTCAAAGTAAGTAGGTAGAATGCCAGGCGGTTCTGGCTAGCACAAGTCCTTGCCCGGCGAGGAGAAAGATGCTGCGGCAGTGCGAGTAAGAGTCGTAGTATGAAAACTTACATAACTTAAAACTGCTCATAATTTGAAATTAATTACAGTTCATTAATATTTAGTAGTGTGCATGTTTCTGTGAAGTTTTATTTTCAGGTATAGGACCTATTTTCCAGTAAGATAAATTGTCTAAATCGCACCACCGAGTTCACGTTGAGCCGCTTACTCACACTTCCATAGCATCTTTCCTCTCACGAGGCAAATACTTAAACTAGCCAGCACCGCCTGTCATTCTACCTACTTACTTTAAATCGCAAATAAAATTATACTAGATGCAAATTATTATATGACACTACAGATAGACTGACTAAGTTTTTTATACTTTCCAACAATATGGGTATCAAATGAAAGTACTTTCCTTGAAGTCCTCGATTATATCCAGCGATAACTAAAAAGTAAAAAATAAATTAAAAGCAAAAACTTTTTATAAACACACTTTTATTTAAATGCGCTAAAAAGAATAAACTGCTGAGAATGAGTCAAGTGACGCTGAATAATACATTAAAGGTAATACACATTTCATAAAAATATATGAAATTCTATATAATTGAGCGCAAGGTCAGAGATGTAATGTTATTCTTAATGTATTAAAACTTTGTTTCTTTTTAGATGATGAAATCAGGAACTAAGAATCTTATTATGATGATGAAGAAAGTGATGATGATGAAGATTTATTAATTAATTTATAATAATAAAAAATATTTTACCCATAACTTTTATTTTCACATCATTTAATTTGCATGAATAATATACCGTAAGTTTTCATACTACGGCTCTTACTCGCACTGTCGCAGCATCATTCTCCTCGCCTGGCAAGGACTTGTGCTAGCCAGAACCGCCTGGCATTCTACCTACTTACTTTAAATCGCTTAAACAAACACATATATAAATTTCAACTTAACAGAATAAAGTTTATTTTTATGTATATATTACACACCTTCCGGTTCGTCTGGCAGGTACTTGTGTTCATCGTAAATGTCTGGCATTTTTTTTAAACTTAAAAATGAATAAACTACGTTGTATAAAAATTTCAAGCTTACAGCTAAAAGTTTTTTTTAATATTTTTTTGACACTTTCAAAAATATACGACTTGATGACGTGCAGGGCTGAGGAGTGCCAGACGATGCTTACCGTACTAAGCATGCTATGGCGCATCACCATAAGAATTTCTAGCCTTACAGACAGACCGTTACTCGGAGGGTTCAGTAGCTCTTCTACTATAGGATTACATTGCTCTGATACAGGCAAGATACAGGCCATACATATACCGTCAAAACTAAACTTGCTTGATTGTTAATTGTACTTATTATAAATAAATACAAATAAAAAAACTGAAAAATATAACATACAACCATAAAACTTTGTATGTTTGTGTACATTGTGTACAAAAAGTCACACGTATGTAGTTTATAACCTGGATTGAGACAAAGGAAACTCTTTATTCCGAAATAAAATGTTAGGTTCCTGAGGAATTCTCAATACATTTACGTGCAACTACTAGCCAGCTGCTCCAGTACTTTGAATAATTATGTGTAAGTGGTTTTGTTTAGATCCGTACGTGAAGATATGCCTCATATGTCAAGGGAAGCGGATCAAGAAAAAGAAAACCACCGTAAAGAAGAATACTCTATGCCCAGTTTACAACGAGGCCTTAGTCTTCGACTTGCCTGCTGACAACGTGTTTGACGTCACTCTCTTAGTTAAAGTCATGGATTACGACAGGCAAGTTACGTTTTTTTTGTGTTGAAAGGTTAGCAATAAAATCAAAAGTCAAAATATCTTTATTCAAATTGGATGCAAAATACAACTCTTTTTCCCTACCACCAGTTAAGGACATTTTTTTTAGCTGTGAGTGTAACAATATTTACAAAAAAATATATTGTTACGGTGTCAATACAAAATCATTTCATCTTCATTATAATTATAGAAAAAGCCTGCCGGAACTTTTGAAACAGGTTAAACCCAAGCATTTTTGTCTGAAATATAATCAGACACTTTAAGCTTTATTAATAAGAACTCTTTTAATGGTAGTTTTAAATTTATTGACGCTTTATTTTTGGATATTGCTAGGGACTTTATTGTAGAAGCGTACACAAAGACATTTAAATGAATTATTAATTTTGTGGAGCCTTGATGCCTTGAGCCTTGTGGAGAAATTTGATGGTAAGCGGATATCACAGCCTATAGACGCTTATGATACCAAAAATATCACTTGCGCCGTTATCTACCCTCACCAAATCCCCTACCCCATGGAGCTCTGGAACCTCACTCACCGACAGAAACACCAAATCACCAAAAGGTAGTCTTCTTTAACTGTGATCTTCTGTAAGGCGAAGGTCACCTATCCAGACAGGCGGTTCAATTCGAGCAGAAAAACCGATATGCCTAACCTGTCTTTTTTTGGGTTGTAACTTCCAACAAGGCTTAACAAAGCTTTGCGATAAATCTAGCAATATTTTCCCGCTCTTTGCACCTCGAGAAATCTTGATCTCCTTACACGCGAATCGGATACATCAGATAATGTCATAATGCTCTTCGAACAGGAATATTGTCTGACGTTATCCTGTTATAAATCTTTTATGCAACTTTTTTTTATCCTTGTCTTGATCTTTTCTTTCCTAACAATCTTTTGCTTGCGTTTGGTCTGTTTTATCAAAAACTTTAAGGAATAAATTGAGCGGATCATTTTCACTCAGTAATTTCGAATTCATAGAACAAGTCGCTCCGTTTGTTCATCTTATATACCAAAATGTATATGCTATACGTGTATAATATTCCACTGAAACATTACCTTGACCTTGTCCTAATTACCTATTCACTTAACTGGAAAGTTTATTATGATAGGATCTATTACGAAACCAGTATAACTGGGTACAGAATATTATAAAACAATTTATCTTTATCTAAGAACTAATGACGTGATATCGTCTATGTAAATATTGAAGTACACCCAAAAAACAACTTTTTGATGTTGATAAAAATCATTTTCCTTTGTCTTATGATATTGTTAAAATACGATGTTATTATACAAAAAGCTTGGGTAAAAATAATCAAATTACCTATAATATTAAACATTTTCGGAGATGTTTTTTTCCAGGGATTTTTTAAATGAGAATGTACAATTTTTCTAACAAAAGCTCATTTGCTTTGTATCAACGTTAGTTAAAAATCTATTATAAACTTATTCGAAAAACACAATTTCATGCCGTATGATTAATTGAAAAAAGTAATTACCACTCTTTTGATGATCTATGATTCGATTTTTGATCAACAGGATTGGTCCAAATGAGTTGATTGGGTGCACAGCTATTGGCTCTGCTCTCATCGGGATCGGTCGCGACCACTGGCTAGAAATGTTGGACAACCCCCGTAAGCCGGTAGCGCAATGGTACCCCCTCAACAAAAGCCCACCAGCAAACGTAACATTACCAGCGAACGGCCAGCAGAACGTCGGTTTAAGCTGTCTAAACGGAAGGTAAGAAACGATTTTATAATATGAATTAAAACACCAAATACTGAAATGAGAACAATTGAAAAGACTAAAGAATATATCGTGGTCCTTCGAGTCGGTATATTAAAATTTGGGAATTGAATAATATTTAGTTGTTTTATATTTAAAAAATATTATTTGAGTAAATTTATCTCATGAAAATCACGAATATTGTAACTAAGACTTCTTATTTTACAAATAACACATGAATTATAATAAAGGTAAGATATTGAATAGCTTAATTTGTATTTACATTTTCTAAATTGCGACAATGATTCTGTGACTCTATTTTCACGAAATAAGTTTTAATTTATTTTATTCTCCTTTAGATTACTAAAATTATAAATGGTAATGGATAATCTTAATATCAGATATGAATTGAATACTCGAAATTAATAGTATTGTTCTACCAAATGATCTTTACGTAACACCATCAAAGTAATTTTATAAGTAGTCTTTTAAGGAAAAGCTCTCATCTAAAGACGGCGCTTTCCTTAAAGATAATTAGGATTATTCTTATCAGCCTTGTTTTTAATGTCAGGCGAGCTTAATTATTCTTAAATCTTCTACTTATTATTCACTCCTTAATTCATGACCTTATAAATTATAATTTATATAATCCTATCGCAATGTTGACTTTGCAAAATTTTTAGAAGCCTTTCAGAAAAGATTTTAATTAAGTGATTTGTCAGACGATAAACTTTTGAAATCTGAAGCACTATTATAATTAATTTAAAAGGCTGGAGCAAGAAATGGCACTCAAGATTTAAATTTGTCAATGACCAAGTGAACTATAATTTGGGTTAACAGCATTGTAGGTCTAAAAATAATACAAATGGCACATAAAAACACAGTGATGAATAAAAATATGAACTGCATTGTTAATCGTATTTGGATGAAATTTGGTACACAAATACTGTATTATCTGGATTAGTCACAGGATACTTTTTATCCCGGGGCTCTATTTAGTTAAGAACTAATTAATTCAAAATATCTACGGTACAACATTTCAAACCAATGAATAGTTAAGTTTGTTAACTTACAACCAAGAACAGATAAAGTTAAAAGATAGTTTCAGTGAAAGATATTAAATTCTAAGAATTCGTTATGAGTATAAACAAAAAGTACATGATAACGTATATGATTGAGATTAATTTTGACTCCTGACACAAAAAGAGGGGTGTTATAAGTTTGACGTGTCTTATGTGTCTGTGAGTCCGTGAGTCTGTGTGTCTTTGGTCTGTCTGTGGCATCGTAAGAACTTGTTCCTACTTGTCGGGTGTCGTCGGATCCGTATATTAATCGGATGTCGGTGCCTTTGTTCACACACACGATTAATAATTGGCTATCTGTCACGGTTGAAGCTTTAACTAACTTTAGGCACTCTATGCGAGGCGACTGTTCCTATTATTATTTAAGAAAACAAAGAAAGAGAGCCATGGAATGTAAATATTGGGTGCACATATTCCTGAGGGAAAGATTTGATTTTGGGTAAATTTCAGAACTTAATAACAGAATTGAGAAATGACGAAATTAAGTGTTTCTATTATTTTAGGACGTCAATATCAATTTTCAACGTTCTACTGACTCAAATATTAGTGAACATAAACTACCAAAATACAGGACTTAGAGACTGCATTTGTACTGAAAAAGGGTTGCGTTACGGACAAGGGGTAGCGGTAGAGGATAGTCAGCCCCGACGCCCGACAAATATGAGCAACGCCATTCTTAATCATAGGCGAGCGAGATCCGACACGATTTTTTTCCGGGCGTAGAGGGCTGGCAAAACACCTGACACTTCTTGTCGGAGCCGATACAAAATCGGTTTCCGATAAGTGTGAATAGCTTCATATATAATGCTCTGCCACTGGAACCTCCGATTATTATATGGATCCGACACCCAACAAGTGGGAACGAGCTCTAACTCATAAACGAATGGACTGATTTGGATGCTCTTTTCTTTATTTGAAAGCTGACAAGATGGAGATGGTTTTTAGCTATAATTTATGAAGATCTATGGCGCAGGAAGATCTATGGCGCAGCATTAAGGACTCAACTTGCTCCAATCAGTTTATTCTCCAGATTGGAAGCGAAGGCTGGTGTGGTGTGTTATTATAATAATAGAGAAATTCGAAATAATCCAGGAACTCGACACATATAGCTATGGCGAAGACACAAATACACACAAGGCTATGTCAAATTTCAAATTCAATATTTGTTTATTTTATAATATATAATTGTCTTCAATTGGATTGAGGTGTTCAGGAGTTATCTTGTTATTTTAATAAAAGATTTCGAATAAGTATTAACTTTATTTTATCAAGTTTTAAGTTTCTCATGAGACTGTTCTATTTATAACATGAATATTGATCAATTTTAAGTTTGGTAAAGAATTATGGTATTATTATTCCCTACCAACGATTTTATTGCCCACAGTACACTAAGGGTGCAGGCAGACTAAAAACATCTCTCTCAAAGGTCAAGTCGAAGGCACAGGGCTGAAATAAGATCCGTTTTCTATCCCGAAGGGAGGAAAACGAGTATGTCAGACCTTGCCAAGGCTTGACCTGAGTAAGCCTCTTGCCGGCAAATTCAGAGCAGGTACTGATGATACAATACGCGCGAGGCTAACGCGCCGTGGTAAATTTGTACTTCCAGGGCCCAAGAGGTGATACTCGAAATTTTTTGTAGAAAAGGTCTCTTCAAAACAATTTTTTTTCTGGCGCTTCGCCGCTTCGCCGTTATGGTCACGAAACTAACCTAACCTAGTGTGAAGTATATCACCACTTGGGCCCTGGTAGTACAGTTTAGCCCGCGCCCCTTGCTAGCACCCTCCGCCCGCGTAGCGCGGGGCATCTCTCCCCGCCCACGGCTTTCACAGGCTTTTAGGTCGTGATTCGAACGGATTTACATATAAGATGCAATAGATAATCTCCGAAGGGTCAATCCTCGGCAAGAGCTGTAATTTTCTTTCGTCTCCCTTCGGGGTAGAAAACAGCTTTTTTTGTGTCGGAGCTTTTTTTATTTATTTTTTATTTAGAAAGTCTAATTGTTTCAATTACAATAAGAGATTTATATTATTTATTACCGCATCACGTCTTGAGTTTTGTGGTTGAATTCTCATGTGTCAGGTTAAAGTAAAATTGTGCGCGCTATTCTGTACAGCGTTATTTTCTGATTATGAATCTTAAATTATTGTGTCTTCTTTGATTTGCATTATGAAGAACAAGAATCAGTTTAGAAGGTAAAATACTGAGCACTAAAAATTTAATGAGTGGTGTGCGTAAAAACCTAAAAAATTAAACAATATTTTAGACAATATGAACTGTAAATTGATATTTCTTGATGATTTGCAGCTCCATGATATTTTTGCCAAAGCCGCGCTGTAATGAAACTTAGAGTGTCTAAGCATTAACACTAGTGTTCTTTACAGATGAAGAGAATATCATCAAACGACTGACATCATCATCTACAAGATAAGGTGGCGTCGGACTCTAGAAAGGTTGAATATCCAAGAGTAATTAGAACATTCGAGTGTACTGAGCATTCTCACGATGCCAATTCGTATTTCTAAAAACGATTAGAAAATAACGGTTGTATGTCCATTTACTGTAGAGTCTAACATTCAATGTCAAGTGATAACGGAGTAGAGAGGTAGATCTAGCGTTTAGACAATGTCTGTTTAAGTAGGGGAAATGAATTTAGAATCTTATTGTTTAAGTGAAATTAATTATATTAACAATCGAAAATGGTTTATCGTTATAGTAGATTTATCCGTGGATGTTTAAAAGTGAAATTTTTAATATAAGTTCATCGTAATGTCATCCCTATTCCTTTGTGAAAGAAGATACTGTTGCTTAATTTGTTAACTTACTCCTTAGTTGGATCTTTTCCCTTCCTGACGACGAAATCGAACCTATGTACTTCTATACATGTTTGTATAATGTTTAAAATATCTAAACGCACATTTCAAATTCAAGACTTGATCATACCATGTAGATACATACACTGAAATTAATATCATAAAATTAATGTTGTGTAGTTGTAAAATGTCTTTTACCGTAGATAATTATTAATAAGATATTGATAAAACATTTAATCACTGTTCAGATACTATGACTATGTAAAAGCATAGGTTATTATAATAAATTGTAACAGAGTTTAAAAAATATCTTTCAATGAAAGTTTATCTTCGAAGCATAAAGCTGAAGTTTTGTTGATTATAATATATGGAGTGTTTCAAACATTCTTTCAGTGTCGGACAATAATATAGACGCACTTTATTGAATAAAAAAATATTTTGATTATTAACACATTCTAATATAAAAAAGAAACATAGTTTGTTGTGTCTGATGTCACTTTAAGTAAGATGAAATCAAAGCTTTAAATCGTATTTAAAAAAATATAATTGTGTATTAAAAAATAAAGGCAATGTCTTAAATGTACTCAAATGGAAATTACATTTTAAAATAAGTGTTAAACTATCATAAATGTATGATGTTAATTATAATGCGTAATTTAAATTTATATTTTTATTATATTGTAATAATAACTGAACGTAGTCTTGATATTGCTTTGAAAAATTCTGAGATTTATAATAAAGCTTTATATTATTTATATTACGAACTATTTATAATAAAAATCTTTATATTATATAGGCATTGTAAATATTTTTCTTTTTACGGCTTATCCCGTAATAAAACATGATTATAATACCTTCCCTGTATCAGTGAAATATCACATATTTCTAGATACAATGTTATAATTTTGCGGTTAAATGAAAACTATATTTTTGAATCATAACACTTCTTCATGCTCCCATAATATGCCACAAAGAAGGAAAAAAACCGGCCAAGTGCGAGTCGGACTCGCGCACCGAGGGTTCCGTACAAACATGGTTGTACTTTTGCGTTTTGCGTTTTTGCGTTGACTTAGATTTTTTTTTTTTCACGGGTTAAAGGCAATTAGATCTAAGTATTTGATATGAATTTCAACTTGATAGCTCTACGCGTTCATGAGGAAAAAAGTAATAAGTTTATATTTATTAAAAAATATATATTTTGTAATGTAACTAAAAATTTAAGGTTTTCGGAATTTTTCCTTTATGTGTGCTATAAAACGTTGCTTCATGCCAAATTTCAAGATTCTAGGTCGACTGGAAGTACCCTTTAGGTTTTGATTCCCTTGCGAGTACTTGCGAGTTTCAAAATATGCAGCTTAAATTGCTGTTTCTTTTGATTGCGTTGACATAGAAGTTTGATTTTGTTACAGCTTAAAGGTATTATAGACCTGAGTATTTGGTATGAATTTCAATTTAATACCTCTACGCGTTTATGAGGAAATGGGTAGTAAGGTTAAAATTATTAAAAAAATATATATTATGTGATGTAACTAAAAATTTATGGTTTTCGTAATTTTTCCTTTATCTATGCTATAAGACGTTGCTTGGTACCAAATTTCAAGATTCTGAGTTCACGGGAAGCACCCTGTAGGTTTTGATTCCCTTGCAAGTGTCGAAAATTTGCGGCATAAACGGCTGTATCTTTTGATTGCGTTGGCTTAGAAGTTTGATTTTTTCACAGCTTTAAGGGACAGTAGACTTGAGTAATTGATATAAATTTTAGCTTCATACCTCCACGCGTTCCTGAGAAAAAGGGTCTTGACAGACGGACGGACGGACAGACGGACAACAAAGTAATCCTATAAGGGTTCCGTTTTTCCTTTTGAGGTACGGAACCCTAAAAATGAGCGAATTTCAATTATTAAATTGTTATTTATAACATTATTGATATTATATATCATTAGTTTTGACTGAACAATATATTCGAGTGTAAATTTTTGTTAGATGAGAATTTAAATAGTGTTATTCCTATTTCTAAGAATTTCCAAATCCTTACACATTGTAAGGTAACTTTTCTATTGAGACGGAGTGTGTGATAGGTTGGATAAACTTTGTAAGATTTATTTCGTATATCAATTTGAGTTGAAGCGATTTGTGAAATTGAACAGTTATATCGTTTTTGTTGTATGTAAAGAAAACACTAGATACATGACTTTTTCTACAGAAAAACTTATTTGAATTATATAATAGGGATGGAGTTCGGAGCATCTTATTAGACAGAAGATTTTATGTACTGACCTCTTGGTATAATTTACCACAAAATAGATAGTACAGAAGGTAATCTACAAACAAAGTGCGCTCGAGCAATGCATACATTTACACCGCTTGCGCAGACCAGTCCGAGTTCCATCCACTTGAGACACGCGCCTGTAAACTTTTTTGTGCAAAAATTTAGCAACAAAAAAAAGTTATTTTAACTGTTCAGTGGACGGTTGTTTATAAATTACACGGTGATGTGATATTTGCTTTTTTATAACTTGTACCTAATATAACAATAATATTTAAATTTAAATCCTTTAGTTATTACTGGTTTTTATTTCCATTATATTCCGTTAGTCACTTAGCGATTACCTTAGGTTGTAGTTGTAGTACTCCAAGCGATGCTTCTTGTATTTTAAGCCTTGGCTATAACATCTAGATCTAGACCAGGGATGGGCAAAAATTTGTCTTTATCATGCCAATAATTACTATCAGACTCTATGACAGATCCATGGTTGATCAGAGCCATGGTTTTGTTCAGTCCACTTACGATTTGTTTGATTTACCGCCCCCCCCCCCCCCCTCCTAGAATTTGTAAATGAAATAAAATCAAAATATAGCTCAGTAACGAATGCGTCTTACTCTGCTGCATATGTCACTGAGTGTGCTGCGAAGTAAATAGGTAGGTACCAGGTTCGGCAGCGGGGTGATCCTTGTCGGACATGTGATGGCCCGCAGGCCATAGTATGCCCATACCTGATCTAAGCCAATTTATGTGAATTGCAGCATCAGTTGATATGCTGTTTTTGTGCACAGTTTTTGATCAACTTTTGCAGTACTGAAGAAGCAACTTATTTGCAGTGTGGCAATCATTTAAATCGAAGAGCACATTTCATATTTTTAGCACATTAATATAATAAAAAAATATTATACTATTACCTTCTCTTATTAATTTACCTACTTATCTGCGAAACTATGTTTTATACAAATTTTGCCAAATTATCGTTAAATGAAAACAAAAAGTTTTGTTATGATGAGTGCTTTTAATATATGTACCTATTTCAATTCAAAAATCTGAATCAGTAGCTACACCTTGAAACAATATTTTATTTTTAGCAGCACTTCACTAATGTTTAAATTAAAGAAATGCGGAAAATATCAAAGTCATATCTTCATTTGAAGCTTTACTATGTCGCAATTTAATATCATAGGGACTTAACATATCGCTGAATATCATGTTGCACTTAGAAGCCGCTAATGTTTGTAAAAATTATATATACATAATATGTTTATCACAGCTCCACCTCGTTGGGGCAAGGAGTCAGGGCTTGTTATCCACCATTTTACAAAAAAAAATTGAATATTATTGTAGATATTGTTATTGTGGTTTCAATAAACATGGTCATGATTGGGAATACAATATTCTTAATTAATTGCATTCTACGAGTAAGTCAATTGTGTGACATCGCCTTTAGATTAGAATTATTTGAGTGGAGGATGTTTAAAAACTAAAATGAAATCCATCTTTGTTACCTTTACATTTTTAAACTTTATTTTCAGGAAGATGTGCTATTGTACTTATTATTAATTGTGTAATTAGCTGCTAAATTTGCAAATCCAAGTAAAAACGAAACGTATGATATCTTTACTCATAAAACAATTCTTTTCATGTAACAGTTATGTTTATTTTTTCAGTTTGTGATTTCATTATCTTTGGTGAACTTCAGTCATTAATAATCAATTTGAGCAATTAGCTTTCTGTGAGCGAGGTCAATAGGACCGACAAGTCGATTTGGTAAACAAACTTTTTTAATTTTGTCCCTTTTGAAATTCCTTGAATTACATCGCGAGATCAGATCTTGCCCGGTTTTTCAGTAAATAAAAAATCTTAATTTAGTTCTAAATAAAGTTATCTGGAACTGAAAATTGTAATAATATGTCTCTCAGTCATTACTTTTAATTAATTTATAATCATTTTATATTGATTTTGAAAAATAAGTAAATACCATTTGAAACTCATAAATCTTTTATAATTGGCAAAACAATGTAAATCTTTTGTTAGTTGAATCTACTCATGCATGTCACTGACATTTATTCACATTTAGATACATATAGATGGGAGTCAATACAGTGTTTTAAGTTTAAATTATTATTGAATATTTTTGATTTTATATTTGTAACAGTAATAAGGTTTTAGCTATTTACACTTAGGCTTACTTTCACCAAAATTTCATTCAAAATTAATAGCTAATCATGTTTAAGCCTGATACTATTTCTATTTGACTTTAAACTATTGACAAGAAAGGAGTGTTGTGTTAAACACGACAATACCTTAATTTGAATTAAGAACTTTGGTGCGAGTGGGCCTTAGCATTGAAAAAAAATAGTGTAAAATTTCATAGAAAAGTGGGTAGAGTCACCTAAGTGGCTCACGGTGGCACACCCAACTTTTCATAAATTTCGCCTCGTTTAATTTACATCAATTATTTTCAAATGAAACAAAGTCGAAAGAACTTTTAGTGCAACGAGTTAAGAAACCATTATCCTCTTTCAAAGGTTTTAGACAAATCTATTGCTCACTGGAAATGAATATATATGTGTATGACATAAGTTAGAATAAGAACAAATCAGTATCAAACTCTATGATATATATTATAATATACAATATGTATATGAAATAATAATAATAAAAAACTGATGGAAATGCCAGTACAAGCGACGGTTGAACGAGAAGTACTATTTTTGTATGAGACTAGGATACTTGTCGTGTCTAAACAGTACTTAAGTCTTTATACTTTGAAACTGTAATAAAGTCAATGTAAGCTTATACCGATTTATGAATAAAATGTTGACATTTTTAAATATTCGACTTTCATTTTTTTGTGTTTTGAGAAGAAGTCCTTTTTTTAATTTTATCTGCTTTTTTCATGACTATTAAATTATGATATAATACTAACAGTGCTTACTTGAGGACTAGCGTAATTAGTGAGTGTTAAAAAAAGTGAAGATAAAAAGGACTTCTCGAGATTTCCCATACTAAAAGCAGAGTATCTTTTATAATACTTTTACAATTGATTTTGGGTTACTCATATAATTGATTTTCGGTTACCGAAAGCTTAAGAATTTAAGGAGATGGCATCGACGAATAAAAAAGGTTTAACGTAAACACTATTGAGATAAGAATAAATTTTGGAGCGGTAAAAAAATATGGAAAGGACACACAACAAACAGACAGAATTTGTATGAAACCCGAGCGTGTCTTTTTCTGAGAACACATTAGGTGGCCAATAAGCTAGGACCACACATAAACCACTTTTAAATGTTTTGATTACAATTTTAGTATATTACATCATTGGAACCATAACTGTTTTCTAATGCTTCAACTTTTTTGTTACATAAAATCGTGTAACACGATGCGTGCTTGTAAGTTCTTAGAAAAAGCTCTGCTTCAACTGTGGGGACATTTAATCGGCT